AGCTGTTCATAAACTCTAATTTGTCATCACTCCTGCACATCACATGTGGGGTTCCTGCCATCAACCATCTCAGGCCTAATTCAAGAAAAGCCCATCGTCAGAAGAGTAGCCCCCAAGCATGCCAGGTCCCCCAGAGTGGACCAAGAAGGACGCACCTTGGGGACCACGCCATTGCTACCTTCCTTCTGACACTTCTGAAAAGGACACTTCTAATGAGCTGTTCTTCCTGGCTCCCGATGCACCTGCTGGAACCCACACTCCATCCTCAGTGTCTGAGGGGTTCAAGGCTCAGAGAGACTGGGTGCTGGTCCCGTTCTGGAACTTTCCATCTGGGGAAGCAGGAGCCTCCTCCTTCCTGCAAAATGTAACCCCTGGGTAGTTTACAACCCACTGGGCTCTTACTGTCTTCTTGAGAGTCAAACAAGTCTGGCCTGCGGTCTCATCTCACACCTAAGCGAGTTTAAAACTTGCCCCAGAGTTCCTGCCGTAAACATGTCGCCTTGTTCGTGGATTCATTTGCTGGCCCTGGTTGGACCAAGCAGTTGTGGGGCTCAGCTCATTCTCAGTGTCCCCCACCCTCACTGCCAGGTATTGGTCGATGCCCCAGTCTAGTAGACTGTGCCAAAGAGAAAGCCTGGAGGAGAGGAGGTACCTCAGTCAAGTGGTGCACACACCTTCAGATCGTGTGCAGCCACCTGGCTCTCCCCGCACATCTGCCACCACCGAAGATGGGATCGGGGTTGATCACACTGTCCCTTGACACTGTGGGATGCAGGCTCTTCTGTCTCCCTGGATCCTCTTTCCCGTGCTCTTCTATCACCCCTTCTCCTATTCGTCCTCCAGGATTTCCCCACTCCACATTTCTCTCCCTTTCCAGCCCCTACTCCCTAACTTGGCTTTGCATCTCTAGGTAGTAACGTGCTCAGCAGGGTGGATGAGCATCTCAGGAATAGACCTGCCCACCTTAGAAGGTGCTTTTTGGGACTCAGGTGCATTTTTCTTCACCCCCAGGTGGAGGAACTCACAATGGATGGTCAGGCTTGACCATCAAGCTCTAGCTGACTCGAGCTGCAGAGACGAGAAGTGGTCTAAAGGGTGGAGGCAAAGTTTAGGAAAATCCCTCCTGGGTTCCCCAGCCCATGCTGGATGGCATCCTGTCACCTGGCCCAGAGTCCTGGCCCTCAGGTCACCCCAGGCTGCTGTCCAGCGGGAGGACCAGGTGTCCAGGTATTCCGCAACCGCTGGTAATTTTTATAGGCAAAAGCAGTGACTATTATCACCAGTAACTCTAACCTCTTTGTCTGGCCAGTGACCCCTAGGGGGCCCCCTCCCTCTATCTACACTAGTTTACAGCAACAGGCCTGTGTGGGCACACTGGCAGCTTCCTTCTCTGCAGGGAGGCCACGTCAGTGCTGTCCACGTCAGTGCTGTCCACGTCAGTGCTGTCCATCCGCTCTTCTCTGGCCCCTGCTTCTCTCCTTGATCTTACCTCATCCTTTACTTGGCACCAACCACCACGACGTGGGTGCCCACTGCACCTCTGCTCCGCGTTGTGCTTATCTGACAATGCCAGACATGTTCTGATAACCTTGGACACACTACTGTTTGCGTCTGCTGTTGCTGCTCTGTGAGCTGCATCTCTCCCTCTGCTTCCCACATTGCTCAGCTATTCCTACGCATTCATTAAAACCGGTCCCAGTTGCCACCTCCTCTCTGAGAACTCCCTTGGCCAGACACCTAAACCTCCAGTCCCTCCCTGCCTGCATTCCACCCACCGCCCCTCCCCCCAGGCCCAGACACGTTGCAGTGTTGCTGAGGCTTTGGTGCACCCTGGGGTGTTATGGTTATGGCAGCTCCCCCCACGAGGCAGCTGTGTGATCTAGGGCATGTCACTTAACTTCTCTGTGCTCCAGTTTCTTCACCTAGCTCATGTGAGGAGTGAGTGAGTTAACACACATAATGATGTTACTGAACAGGGTCTGGCACAGGGAGGTGCTTGATGGGCACAGTTACTTCTTAAATTGTTGATTTCTGCACTGTCCTAATTGTGAGGATAAGGACCCTAAAAGCAGGGAATAATTAAGCCTCCAACCCCACCGAAATGATGTCAACACCTGCCTCAGGATAACTGTGGCTGTTAAGTCATTAGCAGAGATAAGTGTTTGGAGTAAGGCATGACTTGGAGTGCTGAATAAGCATGAGTTCTACCATCATTGTTATTGCAATAGACTTTAAGCACAACTGCTTCCTGCCTGGCTCCCTCTGCTTGCTCAAAGACCAGTGAACCTGATCAGGGAACTAGGCGTGAAGGGGATGCAATCAAAACCAAATTGAGATATCAGCTCTCACCTATTAGAAAGGCCATCATCCAAAAGACAGGAGATAACAAATGCTGGTGTGGATGTGTAGAAAAGAGGATCTTGGTGCAGCGAGTTAAAGTGCAGCACTGCTAGATAGCCACAGCCGCTTCAGTGTGAGTTCGAGCCCCGCCCCGGAGGTGACCCACATGGCGCGGGGGACCTCTCCTGATCTGCCTGCTGCTCCCCTCAGCGGTGTACTCCCACTCTGTTTCTGATGAACCCTCTCACCACCCCTGCATGTCTGGTCTGTACCCCAGTATTGTATGCATAAAGTAAATAAATAAACTTAAAAAGAAAAGATAATCTTGTGCACCATGGTAAGACCAGGCTGGTGTGGTGCAGGGCCTCCTAGAGTCAGGCACATTTCTACCCCAGGGCCTTTGCACCTACAGCTGCTCTGCCTGGAATATTTTCTCTCTCCTCAAATGTCACTTTCTTAGCCATGCACTCCCAACCATCCTGTTTAAATCTTAAAATCTCTTCCCCAACCCCTCACTCTGTCACTTACCCTGCTTTATTTTCCTTCCTGGCGTTTGTCAGCACCTGGTACGTGGCATCTATTACTTGTCCACTTTCTGCCTGCCCACTACATGTACCCCCACTCAAAAGTAAGCTCCACAGGGAAAGGGGTTGGTGTCTCCTTGTCCACACCTCTATCCCCAGTTCGCACCTCCATTTTATAGGAGAGCATGGCAAGACCTCTAGCAAGCCTGAGGCTGTGGCCTGAGGACCGGGACCCTTGATGCCAGAGCCCTGCTCTCTCCCTACCCAAGTGCAAACTCGTATGACCCTCACAATGTACAGGGGCAGTTGTTACTCCCACTCTACAGATATACAAACTGAAACTCTGAGAAATGGCGGGGGACATCTCCCTCAGTCCATGGGGTGGGGGTGGAAGTGGGGGCATGGCTCTGCCCTCCAGGGGCCCAGCATCCCCTCGGGACAAGATGGGCATGCAAGTGCCAAGTGCATGTTGCCTGGTCACACGTGCAGGAGGCACTCTGGCAGCAGCGTGGCCAGGGCTGGTCACCTGGCATGAGAAGCCTCCAGCCAGATGAAGGGCAGAGGGGAACCACAGGTCTCGTATGCAGACCGGGCCACAGGGAGGCTTGTGGGCACTGTGAGCTCAGCTGGAGCAGAGGCTGGGGGCAGGTGTGAAGGGAAAGCTGAGAAGGTGGGCGGGTGCTGGAAGGCCTAGAATGTCCCCACGGTTCTGCAGAGGGTGGGATTCGTGTGCACCTTCTCCCCTGGAGACAGAAGGTCCTGGAGGACAAGTTGGCATGAATAGAACGTCACCTCTGCGGTTCTTAGGGCTCCACTGAATATCTGGCTGGGCAAACCTGAGGGCTGTGCAAATGAAAAAATGGGTCGGCAAGAGGCTTACACCAAAGCTGAGTCCAGTTTCCTGGGGAAGAGCTGGCAGCAGTCCCAGCAACCCTCCCTGCAACAACTGTGGCCTCAGAAAAAATCACTTGGTATGGAACCTTTGGAGGGATTGAGGCCGTGATGCCCACCAGCAACTTTGCAAGCCCCTCACAGGAGAGCACTTTCAGCCTGTGGTGTGCTGGCCAGTTATGTGCAGTTCAGAGCAGGTGGCTTCCTGTCTATACCCGCATGGCTCACAACCAGTTGCCAGTGAGAAGTCACTGACTGCAGAGCAGGGAGAGGGTCTCCTGCTCCCCACTGAGCTGGTGCCAGCTGCCACTGCTTCCAGTGCCCTCCGCAACCCATCACTACTACATCTGCATGAATTGGGGCTCTGGGAGGAAGGACCCAGCCAGGCTGAGTGTCCCTGAGACTCGAAGCTTTGAGGCCCATGGGACTTGATGTCCCATCCTAGTCAGCTACAATCATTAGTCCCCTAAGGATGCCCAGGCTGGGTGCGAGCATGCCACATGTTGGCATCAAAAATATCACCTCCTTGACTCAGGATGCATCAAAGTCACAGATTAAGTCTACATTAGGCCTGCATCCTGGAAGGAGGCTGTGAGGAGTCAAAAGGGGGTGTGGGGATCCCTGTAGGCTGCAGGCATTTTGTCAGACTGGTACCCACACCCCATTTAATGGTCAGTCTCACAATCACTTGTCATGCCCCACTTCAGAATATTTTTTTT